ACACATGTGATTATATGTTTTCTCTTTCACACATACACACACACACATATTTTGTGTGTGTGTGTGTTTTGTTTGTTGTGTGTGTATTGTGAGTAAGAGGGAAGGGCGGGGTCGGAAGAGTTTGATAGGGCACGTAATAAGTGGTGTGATCAATTATTTCTCTGTGGTCTACAGACAATAATTACCTAGGTGATGGAGTGTGTATGTACCGCAATTACACACTTGTCTGGATATCAATTTGGCCTTATTGTACGCCGGCATCCATCATAAATTGCCTTTAAATTGTTGATGTATCATTTGATTCAACTTGATACATTATCCTCTGTATGAACGGATATAAAAGTATATGGTATTTTCCGCATCAAGTAATAAGAGAAATTAGAGAGACAGAAGGACTCTACCTGGTTGCAGATCCTATATGTAAGTATAGAGAAGAGAGAGAGAGAAGTATAGGATGAGAGAGAGAGCACGAACGGAATAGGTCGAGAAGAAGAGAGTGAGTAGGAGAGAGATAGAGAGAGAGGAAGAGATGGAGAGAGGAAGCACCGAGAGGAGAGTAGAGAGAGGAGAGATTTAGACAAAGGAACTTAATTTCAGTTTTATGATCATGCAATACAGGGGCGTACAAGATAGAAAGTGCATAGGTGCCATCTTTAATTTCTTTTTTAGAGTTGTTTTGTAGTGGATAGCCGCTGTTGGTTGCGCATCAGTGGGAGTCTGCTTAGACTTAATCGCCGAAGGTGTGGTATCATGGCTCTTATGCGAGTGTGGTAGTAGCGAGCGCGTTGTGTTGCTTGATATTTTGTTGGTCGCGGTCTTCGGGGATGGTCTGACCAGTCATGGGTAATGGTCGTGCTGGGGTGGTCGGGTGGTGTGCTGGCGTGTGTGTCTGGTTTAGTCGGGGCTGGGTCGGTGATGTGTGTGTTGTGTGTTCGCAGGTGTTGGATGAGGGAGATTTTGAGCGCCGTCTACTAGTAGAGTCAACTGATTTATTGTATTTAATAATGCATGGTTGAGGTTTGGTTTGTTCACAGTTAGTTCTGAGTAAGTTGATCTTGATATACCAAATTAGTGGGTCTTTGTTAATGGTGGATATGATGAGTGAGTGAAAATTATGTGATTAGTAGTGATGTTGCTTTGGTGTGGGCGAGAGCGCGGTTATTTCTGTGGATGTTTTATCTGTTAGGTTATTTGCCAGAGATTAATGTTTTGGTTTCATTTCTCATTTGATGGAAATATCTATTCTCTAGTCACTGCCCTTCTATGTAGTGTCTTACATGACTGAGGAATTGTTTTAAAGTAGGATAAGGAATAGGAATAGAATACACGGATGGATAGAGAGACGGACATATAGATATAGACATGTATGCACGTAAGAATATATGATTTCACACCCTCAATCACGCAATAGCAATTTGTGTATCATTTTCCTCAAGGTCTGTCATTATCTCAATGGGACTGTTTGAAGAGAGAAAAGAAGNCGGAGAGAGAAGTACACACACACACACACAAACACACGACATATCACAACACCCAACACACACCACACACACACACATCACACACACACACCACACACACACGCAACACAAACACACAAATTCCTTTGCATTTCTTAAACGGAAGAAAGTCGCCCTTTCATGAATCTTTTTTCCCGAAATCTCTTCTGCATGGGAGCCTCCTCGAGACCTGCAGACGGAACGTGCATCGGGAAATCGCCTGGATCTCCCCCCCAGCCGCATAAGTATCATAAAATGCCCGAGAAGACTGAGCCGGGCGCCTGCACCACATCGGCGATGCTCCCCCTCCCCTCGCCCCTCGCCCTTCCCCCTCCCTCCCTCCCTCCATTTCTCCTTTTGTTTTCCGAAATTTCTGTATCTTCTTTTACACCGTCTCGTTTGCTTCTTTGTGTATGGCTCTTTTTCTCTTTCTTTCTTTGGCTGTTCACTTTTACGTCCTCATTCATAAATCAGCATCATGTTTACGAAATAGTTTACCCTTAATAATTCATTCATTAGTTTATAAGGGTTTTATCTTTATTAATTCATTCATCACATAGGTTCATCCCTTTTCATTGACTAATAATTGATACTTAATTACACAAATTCCCTTTTATCACCTCAACTCTTCCTTCATTTCCTTTATTACATCATTCTATTACATATAAATAAACAATAACTAGCGAAGCATTGCCGCCATCTGCCCTTTCTCCCTAATAATTATTAATCTATATTATATCTCCCTTTTCTGTTCATATACATACCTGTACGCATCATTTATTACAAAAGAAGAGAGGAAGAAGGAGAAGAGAGAGAGAGGAAAGAGAAGAGAGAAGAGAAGAGAAAGAAGAGAGAAGAGAGAGAGAGCGAGAGGAGAGAGAGGAGAGAGAGAGAGAGGAGAGAAGGGAGAGAGAGAGAAGAGAGAGAGAGAGAGAGAGAGAGAGAGAGAGAGAGAGAGAGGAGAGAAGAGACGAGAAAGAGATGAGAGACACGAAGAGAGAGAGCAGAGAGAGAGAGTGAGAAGAAGAAAGAAGATAGATAAAATAATAAATAGAGAAAACATCAAAACATTAAAGAAAATAAGAAGCCCACCCACCCTACCCCCTTCTTGGCAGCAGAAGCGTTCTCGTCTGGCAACCTTGCTGACCCGCGTTCGAAATCCCGCACTGCCAGTGGATGAGACCCCGGCCATTTCCTAGCACGTGGGGGTAACTTGGAGGAAGAAAGAAAAGAGAAGAGAGAGAGAGATGAGAGGAAGAGAGAGAGAGAGGAGAGAGAGAGAGAGGAGAAGAGAGAGAGAGAGAGAGAGAGAGAGAGAGAGAAATATGTATACGTCACACCAAAGATAAGAACAACCATTGCAACAAACGGAATTAAACCAAATCATCCTTATCAATCTTATCAACCTTATCTCCCTCAGCCGAAGTTGGGCGAGATCCTGGAGCCCCGTCAGACAAGGAGGGTGATCCTGCTGACCACGTGGCGCTCGGGATCCACCTTCCTGGGCGACCTCCTCAACGCGTGGCCGGGGGCATACTACCACTTCGAGCCCCTCCACTTCCTCGCGTGAGTAGGCCGAGGGGGGGGGGCAGGAGTGGGGAGGGGTTCTTCTTCGTCGCGTCCGTGCTCGTTCCTCTTACTCGCAGGGTGGTGGGTGGGGGCTGGGGTGTCGGAAACGGGAGGAGGGAGAGGGAGAGAAAGGAGAAGGATGGGAGAAGAAAAGCAAGGATGGAGAGGAGAAGCGGGGTTTAAAAGAGGAGGGCGGAGGAGGGTGGAAGAGATAGATAGAGATAGATAGATAGATAGATAGATAGATAGATAGATAGATAGATAGATAATAATATAGAGGATAGATAGAATAATAGAATAGAAAGACAGAAAATAGATAGATAGATAGATAAATAAATAGATAGACAGATAGATAGATAGACAGAGAGATAGAGAAAGAGAGAGAGAGAGTGTGATAGATAGATAGACAGAGAAGGAAAGAGAGAGAGAAATAAAGCTGAAAATGGAAATATATACAGGACCATGAAACGTTTTGTGCACAAAGTGAGGAGCAGAAAAAACAAACAAACAAGCAAAAAAAAAAAAACAAAAAAAAAAACAAAGGAAAAATGCTGGTCCGTGTTCTTGAGAAGACGATGAGCGGGACTGAGAAGAGAATGGAAAAAGCTGTGAAATATTTACTGCTCTGTACGTTATTTGGTTTAAACCGGAAGTGTAATGAAACAGGACTAGGATTTTTCACCTGGCTCCTTTCGAATTAGGATATTTTAACGCTTTACATCTAATAAGCCCGCGTGGATTTGCGTTTCCCGCCAAATTCAAACGACTTCGCGGCGCGCAACCGTCCAGAGGCGAACGTCTTCCTCTCGCCTCCTCATAACAGGCGAAAAATTAGGGTGGTAAGTTAGAAGGCATTTGGCTGCAGAGAGAGTTAGATTTTTCACTCTTTTCTTCCCGCCGGCTGTAAATTCCCCTTTCGGCCAGATTTCGCCTCCGAGACTTGGCTTCGTTTCACGCTCCTCTCGCATAGCACCGCATTAACCCGCTCGTGTACTCGATGAATCTGAATACGTTCTAGTACGGCGCCGTCTGATGATCATCTACTAAATCTGTTCTATCCACTCTGTAGGGAACTACTCTCTTTAGCACATTTTTATCATATTACCAAGGAATATCGGTTCGTACTTGATCCAGACATATAGCATCAATGGAGATACATATTTACGGGTCATGTAAACTTTGTCTATACCACAGGGAACGGGAAATAATACCTCGACAGCAGGAACCTCTGGCCATAGGACTGCTCAAGACACTTCTCACCTGCCACTTCGATCAGCGCATTGCACCGTACTTGTACTACATTACCTCGGCTAGGTACGTACGCTGTAAGTACGTACTAATGTTTCAGGATGATATTACTGTCTTACGGCCGGTTTGTTAAACTGTGGGAGGCCCGACCCAATTCCAATTCATATCTATGGACATGCATATCCACGAGAATAATCGCATATCTGCCTATCTTATAGATAAACAATTATTCATTTATCTATCCAGTAGATATGCATGTCTAGACTGATAGATATGCATTTCCTTCTGTATATGCATGTCCTTACAAAAAATGTTCATTGGGTCGGGCCTTCCAAAGCTTTAACAAACCGGTTATTAGAGTTGCAAAGGGTAAGGATTCCTTCCCTGACTGGATGCATCGGGGCTGTGTCTTACAGAGCTTACATCTGTAAAGCACGCTTAACTACTGTAAAGAGGCATATCGGCTTTAAATATGACGCTCGTGTGATGATTCCCTCCATCATATGATACAATCGATCATTAGGAACATGTACAATAGACGAACTAGAAAGACACATCAGTCCCATGTACCAAATTCGTTACAGTCAACGTTGCTTTGGTAATTACAATGTCGTTAGAGAGAAGGTACCAATCCCACAACAGCAAAACAGCTTTCCCTCCCTACAGGTACAACTTTCTGCAGAAGAAGAACGTGCGTCTGAGCTCACTGTGTCGCGGACGTGGCCTCTGTCAGGACCCCGGCGTCATGGCCACCGCCTGCGCCTTCCACCCTCTTAATTTCGCCAAAACTGTCCGACTGAGACTGGCCGCTGTGAAGCCGCTGCTGGAGGTACGCGCTGGGGTGCAGAGTGCTTCTTTCCACGTGTTGATATGCCTCTTGATTACTTCTTTTTACTTAATTATGCTTTGTAAGTACTTGTACCGACGTGTTGCTAGCCTACATCAGGTACAGATATTCCTTATAAGCAAGATAGATATGAATATGACTTTGTTCATCCCTCATTGACCATTAACCTCCCCACCTCAAAAAAACCAAAAACCACAACCAACAATAATAAAATAAAAATAAATAAACCAAAAAAAAGAAAAGAAATATATAAAATCACTTAAAAAACCCGCCCAGCACCTCAACCCCAAAACACAACGTCACCTCTCAGAATCAGCGCCACTCCCCCGCATCCCAAAACACAAACAAACCCTCCCCTTCTAACCCGACCACGCCCACAGGACACCTCGCTAGACGTCCGCGTGGTGCACTTGGTGAGGGACCCGAGGGGCGTGGTCAACTCGCGCCTGAAGATGCCCTGGTGCTCCGGTAGAACTTGTCGAGACATGTCTAACGTCTGTCGAGCGGTGAACCAGGATGCTTACACGGCAGAGGAGTTCAGGTAAGTTTATGAAAGGATATCGGAAAGATGATAGATGAAGTGAGGGCATGGATAGTATAGAAGTGAGGAAGATGGATAGATAGAAGTGAAGAGGATAAGAAGAATGAGGAATATAGATAAAATAGAAATGAGATTAGATAGAATGAGAAAGAATGATTAAAGAATAGAATAAAGAAGAATGAAGAATGATAAAAAAGAATAAACAAAATGAATGAGGAAAAGGTGGATATAAAATAGACAAAATAGGGAGAAAGAGAGAAACGGTTTGATAAGGAAATGTAGAGAATAAAGAAAGGAAAGCAAAAAGAAGGATAAAGAAAAATGAAGGGAGAAGAGAGAAAAAGATATAACAACAAGTCGAATAAAAAGGGAAAGAAAGAAAAAGTTCGAGACAAAGAAAAAAAATGAAAGAAAAGGAAAGAGGAAAATAAAATACATAAATAAAAGAGAAAAGAAATAAAGAAAATTAAGGAAAATAGACAAAGAGAAGAAAGACTAGAAACCAGTAAGGAGAAATGAAACAAAACATTGGAAGAATCGTCTATAAAGATGGAAAAAATTAGATAAAATTAATGAAAAGTGATCGAAAATATGGTACTTAGAGAGTAAGAATTTCAGAAATATATATATATATATTAATTTTTATTATTTTAAATTATATATATATTTATAATATTAATATTATATTATAATATATATATCAGTAGATAAAATAATAATAGATAATAGATATAGATGATAGAATATATAGATAGAGAGAGGAGAACGGAGGAGGAGAGCAGGGAGAAAGAAGAGAAACCGGCGGACGAGACGGAGAGAGCGAGAGGAGAGATGAGAGATGAGGAGATGAAGATGAGGAGAGAGAGACGGATGATGGACGAGACCGAGGAAAAGGAGGAGAAGGAAGAGGTCATGTGTGTGTGTGGAGGATGGTGAACCACTCTGTTGTGGTTTAGAAAGGAATGAAGAAAGAGAAGATAATACAACAATAACTAGCGAGCCATCCCATCTGCCCTTTCTTCCCCTAATATTAATCTATTATAAATCTCCTTTTCTGTCAATACACATACCTGACGCATCATATACAAAAGAAGAAAGAGAAAAGAGAAGAGAACGCAAGGAACAAGATCAGCAAAAGAATCAGAGAGAAGAGAGAAAGAAGAGAGTGATATAGAAGAAGAGAGAGAGAGAAAGAGAAAGCGAAAAGCAGATAGATAGTAGAGAATGAAATAAAGAAAGGAAGGAAGGAGAAAGAGATGAAGAGGAACAGATAGATAGACAGATAGATAGAGAGAGAGATACTAAACAGGAATGAACAGAATAGTAAAAAATAAACAGAGGCAAACAAGAAACTAAAAATCTCAGCAGACATGAAAAATCTTTTGTCATTAACCTTTACTTAAATAATAAACCGAACGACTTAGAAAAGGTTTAAGGCGGATCGCAACCCTGACTGTCATCTTCTCAGAACATGTCAAGTCTGTGGATATGACTTCAAGTGTAATCATAATTCATGTCAGCTTAAATGTAGAGAGAAAAAATCTGTGTTGAATTTGCCAGTCCTTGCTGCGTGATCTTGCGAAAGTTGCCAGTAATTCAATTAACTTAACGACGTCACCTGGACCGGCATGTCATCTACTAACTGTTCATTTATTCATTCCCAAATTTATCAAGCGTTTTGACCTTTCCCTAGCGAGAGCTTTTCTTTGCCTTTGTTCCTTTTGCCAATCTCCGGGTCTCCCTCGCCGACCTGTATTTAACAACCTTCATCAAACAATTTTCTCCCTGCTGCTTCT